ACAAGTGGAAGTCATTTACGAGAGTTTACGATCTTCCCATAAGTTGGTATCCCAGCAAGTCTAACCTTGGACTCTCATGGAATTTTACATTTCATAGTTCATGACAATAAGATTAGGAAAAGGCTAAACAAGAAGAGCATCTTGAATAGACTGAAAGAGATAACCTTTTCTCTCTAAAAAGAATATGGCAGCAACATTTTAGGGTCGACTGTAAATGCAAACTTAGTTATAAAAGTCAGGTTTCAAATGCACAAAACTGTGTCAAAATCTCAACATAAGTCATAAGGATATTAAGAAAGGCCTGATTTTTCCATTTAAATTTCCATTTGATTAGAGTTTAAAGATTAACTAAAATCAACATGAACATGCATTTCCTTGTTCTAATGAATACAATGAATAAATAAAGATCATTGTGTGGCCAGTTTTTGGACTAGGTACCAACTAGATTGGGGAAAACTCCTTGAATTTCACAGTTAACGAGGCAGAGTCGGAAAACCATTGCACTAAGGTCTTCTTTCCTCACAAACTCCACTGCTGCCTTCCATTTGGAGGGCTCTTTGTTTACTGTAAGTCTGTTTTCCCTTTGTCTCTCTCAGTCTTAATATTCTCCTGTTTATCTAACAAGAGTCTTCTTTCCTTTCATGCTGCTCTTTCCCACAACCCGTCCCCCTGACCCCTCCTCCCTCGCTTCGTTTCTGTTGCGTTTCTTTTTTTTTCACTTCCCATTCACTCTTTATTTTTGGCTTCCTCGTTTATCCACTTATCTGTAAATGTATGTCTTTTTTAAAAATCCATCTTTCTCCCTCTGTTTTTTGTCTTTGTTTTTTCTTTCTCTGTCGCCTCTCCATTTTCCCCCCAATCATTACCGTCATCGCTTTAGATGAAGCGGAGGATGTCGCCATGGGGACCCAGCTTTGGAAGCGGGCGCAGGTCAGTTGACAGTTGACCCCTGAATTGAAGCCTCATCCCAGTCCATAATGTAGAGCTTTTCCATTTTTGGACCAAGTCATTCAAGTCCTAGAATCTAAGCCATGTTTCATTTTCTACAGTTTTGGCCTTGAATGTGAAAAGGCACAATGGTACTGGTTCACTTTCCAGAGAGAAAGTAATTTTGTGGTTAGTTTCATATCCAAATTGGGACTATAGCACCACTAGGGGCCTAATTAACCATTTTCCCCCTTTGTTCTTTGTTCACATAACTAATTAAACTTCCCTTAACTTTTGATTAATACCTTTTTTGTATTCATAAATGGAATAATAACAACACAATGTAGTATGTTCATTTGTGAGCACTAAATATGATTTTTTTCTTTTTGTAGCTAGCCTAGCTAGCCTTTTTCATGCTAACGAAGGCTAATCCCTTCCTGGCTTCACTTTTATTAATACCAATCAGACATATTTTGATTGCCAAATCTTTATGAACAAATTGTAATCTTTCCAAAAAAGCTGAAATGCTATTCTTGAAATTACATTAACGATTGAGTTGGAGTTTATATTTTAGCAAGTGCAATTTAGCTTAGCATGTCTGTCAGTAGCACTGTAGGTAGACTTGAACGTAGACTTGGACTCAACTTTATTTATCCCTTGGGATTACTCCTTCAGAGAAATTCTGGTTCCAGTAGTTTATGTAGAGTACAAAGGGCTGAGTTAAAGCAAGATGCCATTGAAGATAAAAAATACAAAAGACAATATAAAAAGAGTGTATATGGTACAGATGAGCATAAGAGAAATTGTAATGTCCTGGAATATTCCAGGACATTTTCCTTTAGATATAAAATATCTGCACAGTAAGGAGCCAAGTAAAGACTACACAGTATTTGACTTGGATTATTGCGCTTGTACTGCAGAGGTATGTTATCTCAGTATTTGACTTTGTACACCTTTTTTTTTTACTTGATTAAAAAAAATACTTTTAAAACCTTTAATATAAAAAACAGCATCTTAACCCAGCGAAAACTAATGCATATGGTGTAAATCCTAGTAACTGATTAGTCTGAATTCAGCGTGTTTTAACAGGGTTCTTATATCAGTGCATAAATCCTTTGGTTTGCTATTCGCCGCGCTTCTAATATATATTTCAATGTCTCACAAGTAAAGTGTCTTTGACTGTAAGGGAGGCATGCAGAGCAGCATATGGTGGAGATTCCAAAGGGACCTTATCCAGATGTCCCAGCTAATGTAATACTAAGAGCTACATTTTTTGCTCTAAAATATCAGTGTAATGAAAGACTGTCTGAAAAGTCTGCTTTTTATTTGCTGTTGTTACTTTTTGCTGGGGCAATGTGCTCCCAACAGTGGGCTCTGTTACAGAGCTACTGCTCCTCAGCCTCATATACAGCCAGACACTTCAAGCCATACAACCCACCCACCAAAAATGGCTATACCTAGAAAACCTTACCAGCTGATCTGAGATAAAGTAGGATTACATGTCTATGAAATGTGCATAAATTTGTCTAGGGAGATTTTTAGTTGATAAAGAGTGTGTCTCAATAGCACCCCATTCAAACTGGGGGTGCTCTGTTACAGTTTTGAAATTCAAACTCTGGAATCAATAAATCTTATTCAAAATGAGTGTATTCAAGGTGACATAAGACACTACTTTAAAGTTTGGAAGCTAGCTTTTTTTTTTAATCATGGAGAAGCTGATCTATTTGGGCGTGGCATTTTCCACATACATCTGATTAGGGATTTCTGAGTGAAATAGCAGCTTGAAGAGAAAAGCAAACCAGGACTAAACCGGATCAGAATCAAACCAAATGTGAGCACGCCCTGAGAATTTACAACATTTAAAGGTTATTGTAAACAGTGTCTTTGGTCTAGCTGTCGGGTGTCACCATCTCCCAGGCTTTGAATCATTTCATGTAGCTAATAAAATGGACATTTGACGCATTATGTATTTGAAAAAGAAGAATGTTTTAAGTCGACAATATTAAGGGGGAAAGGTGCAGAGGATGACCCTCAAAGGATGAAGATGATCATGGTTGCAGATTTGATTGCATAACGGTTGTTCTGACAAATGGACCTCAGCACGCCAACAAACCCTCCAGAATGTTCCGGCTGTTTCTTTAATACACAACTCTTCGTAAACACTGCTGACAAGAAGCTTTCCAGTCGCTTCCTGGAAAGTGGTGAGTAAGAGCCCGTTTAAACTAATGGCATAAAAATAATCATTTCTCTGCCATGGTGTAACATCATCGTTCACCTAAACGACACAATGACGGGAAGAACCTTCTACTGTTGAGGTGCTGTGAGCTGGAAGATCTTATGAGTGTATGTCTTCCTGTTTCATTGAGGTGGATTTTTTCATTAAAGTGCTTGACTATAGTCCTTATCAATAGACATGCATCATGTGAACTATGAAATTGACTACATGCAAGTAATTATTATCAGATTTTTCCTTTTTTTTTTCAAAACAAATTTTTAAAAACTTTCCTCTAATAGAAAGCAGAAATATATTTTAATGGTCCTGATCCATTTTCCTTTAAAACTCTAAAAGCAAATTTTCTTCCTCACCCTTGTTCATGTTGAAGTTATTGGTGTTGGAGAAAAAAACAAAAAGACCAAATTTGACGCCATCACCTCCCCCGTTATCTCCACCCACCTCCAGGTGACACTTCCTGACCTCTTGGCTGGCCCAGAATCTTTTTCTAAAGTACTCTGTTGGGAACTTCTGACACCAAAGTAACTAAGTCATGAATGTTTGAACAACAGAGTTGTTCTCAAACAGAAACTTTGTGGCACTTGTATTACAAAAGGGAATTTCTTGCTCTCGATAAGTTAGGCAATCCCTTAATACCTTATTGATGATTTTTTTTTAAATGTGAACAATATTTAGCCACATTTTAGCTCAGGGACACTATGAATATAGTCATATTGGTAACTTTTTATTGTTGTTTACACTCAAATAAAATCTAATATCTCAGCAGTTCCTTCATGAAACTGACCACACAAAACATTTTTGTTTGCTTGAGAAATGTCTGCCCAGTATGTTAACCGGACACTGTTGTCTTAGCAAATAAATCTGTATGTAATATCCTCGATCTAATGTGAATTTGGGTAACCTAATGAGACTACAAGGACTTTCACTTTTTCAAGGTTTATGTTTAGGAAACATGTATTGTCAATTATTCTATTATTTGTGATTGTTTTGTAAATTGTACTATTGTATTATACTATTGTTTATATATTCTTAATTTAGTTCTTGTTCCTTTCCAAAGCCATAACAATCAGATATTAGTCCCTGTTTAAAGATTAGGGAAATCTCATTTGTATAAAAGGCCATGAAATTTCTTAACTCAAACTCTGTCAGCCTAAGCGCATCACAAAAGATTGTACTGGTTGGCTGGCTGCCGATCCGTAATGAATCCAGCAAAAACTGTGCATGAAATCCTGTGCGTGCAGCTAATTAGACTTTTAGAGAAGAACAAGTTGTTGCATAAAAGTGTGAATCGATTTCCGGTCTGAATGAGAAATCAACAGGTTCAGTCTCTCTAGGCCTCAAACATCCTCTCTGCAAGTGTAAGTGTGAGTTTTCTGGGCTCAAAATAAACGACATGACAAAGAAATGAAGAAGGTGCTTTCTTACTTTATTGAACTTGGCTTCTTATGCGAACCAAAATCTTCTGATTGTAAAGAAATGGTTGTTTTTCACCCACTATAGACTAAATAAAATAAGCAGATGCTCCACACAACAAATACACTAAACACAATTGGTCTCTAAGTACATAACATTAATACATTCAGGGGTACAGGAGATTTTTTTTTTTTTTAATTTAGTCATAGTGCAACTACATCCTGCAAATAGAACTGAAACCATGATTTTTGTTATTGAACCCTATTTGATCATTTTTCCCCCATATTTTTTTTTTTTTTTTTAAAGAGAGAGAATTATTTGAATATCCATGCCCGGCCAAATTTAATTAAAACTCATTAGGCGTTGATTATCACCAAAGTTATTGATAACAGTTGTCATAGTGTGTGTCTCTCTGTGTCATTTTCAGCAGTGACAGCGCTGCCATGGCATCAGGACCTCCAGACTCGATGATCAATCAGGAGGCTGCCGAGGTCCAAGAAGAGTGCTCAGGTAGACATTTTGTGAAATGTTGGAGCTTGAGTTGATGCCTAGTTGTTTCCATATGTGTACACAAAGCCCATTGCTGTCAGAAAAGGGGACCAAAATGCTTGACAATTGCTATTATCTTGCAATTTGTTGCAAAAAATGGAAGAAGGAACAAAGCTAGCAATGTAAAAGCATTATATACATAACATATATAGAAAGCTATTTCAGACATGCACCAGTTGTCTTTATTCAGATGGCAATTGAATGTTTCGGGGTCATAAATAAAAAGCATGGTGCTTTAAACAGCTATCTGAACCCAACAAACCAGGATAAGTTCTTTAAAAGACTTTGAGCAGCAACTCCTGCTCTTTTATTACATGTATATGTTTCCAAATCCAATAAATAAAATGATAAAAAAAATATATTTTACGTATTTAATTCCCCATTTTTGGTGTATGTCATATCCAAATGATCCTATTCACTATTAATTTTTTTGCTTAACATGTTAGTTATACCGTATCCATCTCCCCCTAGAGACTGTGGAGAATTCATTTAAATTCAATTTTATTTATATAGCGCCAAATCACAACAACAGTTATCTCACAGCACTTTCCAAGTTAAAGGTCATATTTTTCTTGAATTTGTAAGAGCTGTAAGAGTGGGAAACGACTTCATGCTTTGCGATATGTAAACATTTAAAAGCGCAATCTTTTCAGCTTCTGCCTATTTCTCTGGTTTACACAACCACTGGACACACGGTATGAAACTATTTCTTGTGCAAATGGTTTGTAATAGTGTGTCACTCGTCTTGCAAATACTGTGAGGAACTCCGAAGCGAAAAACAGGGCTTCCTATTATTATTCCTAGAATTACAATGCAATACAATCCTGGACATATGTATGTATATATTTCTTATAGTTGGAAAACAATAGTAGAAGTGTTCATGGCACAGTATCCCCCCTACAAAGGTCGTCATATTCTCAGTGTGTCGGTTGAGATCAGCTCCACACCCCTCGTATTGACTCTAGCCAGCATTGAAATCCCCAAGCTGCTATTCAGAGCATGTCTGCATTCACATTAGTATACACAGGGAAATGATGATATCTCAGCATTGCTATGACGATAAAGCTACAGTGACCTTCCACGAATCCGATGGCCTTTTTCAGCTTTACGTAGTCTGGACCTTTCTTTTAATAGTGTATTGTGCTTAGAATAGTGCAGTGAATATCACAATGGGGTGGTGATCCAACCTCCCCCCCAAATACTTCGTCTTGGCTGTGCAGAAAGGTTTGTGAAGCCTCACTGAAAAACATTTTGGAAACTCCTCAAGCAAAGCTCGCTCTTCAGTCTTTAAAATAACTCCTCTTTTTAGTAATTGGATCACAAATCCAATTAAATTTCCTTATGTTTTCATGGCAAATCATCAAGATTCTTTATATAAAACTTACAATATTTCGTGTCCAAAAAACTGGAATGCTTACTTGGGGGTTTTAACCATCTTGTCAGTAAGCGTCAGATTTAAATTCTTAAGATTCTTTAGTTATGATTTATCTTCAACCAGAAAGCCTATTTTTAGAAAAGAATGTTCAAAGATTCTCCAGAGGGAGAAGGACAAAAAAAACACAGTTTGTACAAAAGAATGTCTCTATTTTTAAAGTCTCCTCCAAAGCACTTTTATCAATTGCAAAGAGATGGGTATTATCCAAATATTTTTTCTTGGAGCTTTTTATCTATTCTTGCTATAGTTTGATTTGCGTTTCTGTCTAGATTCTGAGGTCATATATTCATCATGATTTTCCAAACCTGATCCTCAATATCAATATCTTATCAGTATTTTCTTTTTAATATAAAATTCAGTTTAAATGACAAATATAGAATTATTTCTTTTGCTTTTCCTTTTTCAAGCAGTAAGTCTCCTGAAAATAAGTGTCAAGTAATGAAATATCTCAGAAATAATTGTGATATTTGGTAAACTTCACAGTAGAATCTGGAATGACCTGCAATTCTTGAAACACCTACATTTGAAAAGTATTGTTTAACCCTTACTTTAACCCTATTTCATATTCGAGTAAAGCTAAAGCACCAACAACGACGGGAGTACAACCAAGAGCAACCTTCAGCATCTCAAATTGCGCCACTTTGTTCCTTTTTTATTCATTTATTTTTCTGATACTGTGCGTCACCACTCTCGCCTCGGCATACCCCTGTTGGGAAGGTGTCGGATTGCCAATCTATACGCTGCTGCCAAAACATACATTCTCCAATCTTTGTAGCGTCAGCGTGTGTGTACTTCATCGGCATTTCGATCCTGAGTAAGATGAGTAGCTTCAAGTAAATGAAAATAGGTACATTAATTACCCTCTACCCTGAAATTCCAGGTCGTCATAGACCTTTCAGTAAATTAAGTGCAATGCTTCCTGACCAATGATATGCTCTGATAACTCTGCCTTCCAGTTAAGTTTACCCCAAATGGGTATTCTTTTCCCTCACACACTCTAGTGGCAAACAAAGCCACATTTGGCAGCGATTTTCACAGTACAGTGTTTGGCAAATGGAGCCATGTAAACTTAAATAATCCGCCACCAGAACATTTTGATGTTATGGAAAACTGGTGGTACACCAGAGAGGCACCTTGCAACCTCAGTTGTGATAAAACAGACACAGCCTTGTTTTGTGTTAGGGGCCAAGCTATCAGGTCAGAGATTATTGCCCCCCTGACTGATGGCAGTGGAGGCAATTTGTAGCTGTTTAAGGAGTTGTAAAAGAGCTGTTGAGTTTTCCACTGTGGCGCTAATGGACCTGGACTCTGTGTGTGTGGGGGGGATGGTTTACGAGCTTGAGTGTGTGTATGCCTGTGTGTGGTTTTCTCCTGGACTGCTACCTGCACTTGTTACAGCCATGATTGCTCCTTAACAACTGTTCATATTAGGGCAGCGTGTGAAGACGCCTGGTGTGTCATTTCACGCGTGAAGTTAGAGGTAATTGGGTTTTTTTTTGCTGTTCCTGTCGTTTTAGGAAAGAAGAAATCCAAGTTCCAGACATTTAAAAAGTTATTTGCCAGGAAGAAGAGGAAGGAGGCGTCGGCACCAGAGGGAGATGCAGGCCTTAAAGCCAGCCACTCGAGCGACAATGTCAGTAAAACGTCAGAGAACAACAAACTCACTCGAGCCGAGAAGGAGAAGGGATCTGGGTAAGATCACGTACATGCTAATTGCTGCTAATTCAAACAATGACACAGTTGGGTATGTGCTCCTACTGTAAGAATCCATCTGGTTCTTTTCTCAACAATAGATCTGTTTGAAAGCGCAGCTTTCTGTTGGATCCGATGATTCATTGGAGACAGCAGCTTGGAGTTCATGCTTAAATATATTGAATCCTCTGCCTGTTCAGATGAATATCTTCCCTTGAAAAGAATTAGTTCAGCAAAAGAACATCCATCTCCTGTCCTGTTGAGCTTACCTCCGTGGAGGCTTGTAGCTTCCTGTTTTTGCAACATGAAGTGGAATGTCTTTTCCTGAGGACAAGTCCTGGATTTCTTTGTTTTCCTTAACTGTGCCACTTCCTGCCTTGTCTGCTCTTTGTGTCTCAGGATATATCTGTTTAAATATTACCAGAGTCATGATGAGCATATCACTTTAATAGATAGATTAAAGATTGGAAATTGGCAAAAAAAATTAAACACATTGTAAACTATTATATTTTTAAGTGGTATAGGTTTGTCTTAGACTAACAGGTTATGGTGATTTAGTTTTCAAAGCTGTGAAAAACACATTCTGACTGTGTTTATTTCTTGGTTTTCCTCTTTCCCAAAGGTCAAAGATCAGTCTGGGCGGCAAAGCCTTGTCGCATGACTCTGTTTTCGTGTCTGACTCATCGGAGGCCCACGAGGCACTGGAGGCATCTCAGGACAGCATTAATGGGAAAGTGAGATCACTACAGGTAAAAAAAAAAAGAAAAAAGAAAAAAGGGTCAAGTTTGTAGAGAAACTCTGGCCATTGAGCATGCCTGTGTGACAGTAGGGGTTAGCAAGGAGTAATAAAGCCCTTTTAAATATGTGTGGTGTGAAAGTGTTGATAATCCCGCAACACTGTCACACAACATCAATGATAAGCATGTGCGAAAAAGGCACGAGCTGCCCTGTTTTATATGTGTTCATTGTGACTCAGCTCAAAGACTTATCATAATAGATTAAATAGGGTCAAATTTGAACAGTGTGGACACATAGCGGTGTAATAAATGCAACACTTCAGAACAGGCAGAACTGCTTTGTGTCACAAACAGATCAAAGCTGCGCGGAAGCGAAATGACAGAACTGGATGATGATAAGGAAAGAAGACAGACAGTACGAATAGCTGTCACAACAACATGCTAAAACGGGAAGACGTAACCAGACGGACAGACTGACCTCCAGCGAAAGTGCTTCACTTAGACACCAGGGAGGGAGAATTAAACCCTTCCTTAAGGGGATGAACCATAAAGGAAAACTTTCCTCTCTAGGTGGAGTACAGAGTATCCGGTTTTGGCCAGTTTACAAATGAGAAATTCTAGAAAGGGCTAAACCTTTTAGTCATGGATGACAATATATAACCATTCTTGAGGAAACTTTTTGTCGATATGTCGGGCAGAGGCATCCTTCAGATACGTTCATTTTCACAAACAGAGTTGACTGTGGAGGACACAATCTGATGGAGATTTCCTGAGCTTAATCCTCACTCTGGGCTGGGCTGGGCTGCCGTTTGATAAGCAGAATGAGGTCATCCTGGAGCCAAATATAAACACATTACGCAAGAATCGATATCTTTTTAGGTGCTATTCAAGGACAGAGCAGAGTAACTGCACGAAACACGATTACTGTCAGTGGAAATGTAGTGTTGATGATCAAAACAAGCCTAATCCCGAAAAAAAAGACATTGTCTAGCCATTATCAACCTCAAACAGTAAATGCTTCGAATGTTTAATTAATATGAACACATTTTTTAGATTTTGCGTTTACAAAATGGTTTGAATGTTATTTTGTCATTTGTGAGAGGGGGGTGTGTTTTTTTTTTCAAAGAAAAACATTTAAGTAATTTTATGTTTATTTGCATTCTTTAAATGTAGCTACCTTAACATGTTATGCTAACCACTTTCCAAGCACACTAAGAAAAGTCAATATGTTGCGATATTTATCAAAGTAATTTCCCTTGAAGTGAAACAGAAAGACAATAAGGAAAGAAATAACAGGATATAAAACTTTTTCAGAGAAGGAAGTTATGATGGAAAAGCAAGGATGCTAATGTTTACTAATTGTCACATCTGTTAGCATTATCTTTCCTTTTGAAACCAAGTCACATTTATTTGCAGCTATATCATAGCTATAAAAGACCCCCCAACTTTGAATGGAATATGCCAAAATGTCAACATGTGAGGACTTTTCCGGTTTCACTGTTCACTCCAGCTCGACAAAAGCCGTTTTGTAGTCTATTTTGTGCCTTAGTAAATTAATCCTTGAGTGACCGTTACAAGGCAACATGGAGATAAAGAAACTGTTTGAGTTTCTGCGATACGTATCGCCCACACACACATACACTCACACACACACGCACTCGCACACACACACGGACAGACACTGATACACCAGACCCGACAGGAATTTTAACACATCACCCAGGCCAACTGTCCCCAAAAGTCATTCTTTGTTAATCATACTCCACATTAGTGTAAGATTTAGGTTTTTAAAGCTGTGTCCATTGTGTCCATTTGGGGAGAAAACTGTTGTCTATTAAACGGGTTGTAGATTTTGACCTTTTTTTTATGGCCCCTACACACAAAACCTGGAACTCCCCGCACCTTCATATTAAGAAATGTACGTTCTTGGACATATTTCTAGGAAAAAAGGGCCCTAAAATGGGGGGAAAATTACGAATTGCCACACAGTCTGTTTGAACCGTGTCTGAGCGAATGTGTGTTTTGGTTGCAGCTTCAGCTCAAACAGGCCATCAAACTGGGCTCTCCTCCTTCCTTACTGTGTGTGAAGAAGACTGAAGATGCCGGAACCATGTCCGAGGACGATGGCTTACCCTGCAGTCCACCCGAGTACACAAGTCTTCACTCGGCAATGGTAACACACACACACACACAGAGTAATGACCTCCGTGTGCTCTCTGTTGCCGACGGCCCCGTCTTATCCTCACTCTCTCTGTCTGGCAGAGACATGCTCAGAGGAACAGCTCCAACAGTCTACATGAAATGGACAGTGACGATGAACAGGTAAACAAACACCCAAAATGTGCGATGTTCAATATTGCCACATGAAAATGTCTAAGAAAATTCAGTAATTTTGATTCAGTTCAACAGTTTTGACAGTAAGTTTTGTTTTGTTTTCCCATCAGAGACATTATGTCACAATATGTACCAGATATTACTTAAATAACTGTTCAAATGGAGAAAAATCCTTTGTCTCAAAGAAACATAATCTCAATCAAAGCGTTGTTTTGTTTGATTTATGACATTTTGTCACACCATAATACACGGTAGAGCTCACTTGTCATCTCCCTTTGAGGTTACACTGATGTGTGACAAGTTAACAAGTACATTCTGAAAATAGTGCATCATTGTGGCTTCACGTTGCTAATGTTCTGAATGTTAAAACGCCATAGCTCAACATGGTCTATGTTGATACAAGCAAGTATCAAAATGATTATTTCCTCTTTGACAAGTCTGCTACCTGACATTGGTTTCACAATGACATTAGTCCTATTTTCTAATGGTTTTTTCGGCGATCAAGCTTTTCCAAATGTTGCTACTGGCGTTTCCATTTTTACTCCTATGCGTAAACCATCACTCATAACATGTTTAACCATACGTGGACCGGGCTACAATACATTCAGACGGAATTTAGTTACCTTTCCGTGTCTTTATGTGGGAGATATGATTGCCAAGTTTGTGCTTTTGTAAAGAGAAATTCATCTATGCCCACCCACGAGCTCAGAGAGCAGCACCTGAATCTATATATCCGAGGAAAATAACTGAGTGAGAACACTTTATACCGACACCAGCATTTAGAAAGTGTTTAATTAAAAGTAAATGCGGTCAGATTCTTTATATAATAGAAAGAAACTGGTGTCTGAAAAGCGAGCGTGCTGGAGAGCAGGTGGACATAATGATGTAGGCCACCTACATGCCAAAAGATCTTAGGAATTCTGGGTTAAACTATGGCAGACTTCCTAGAGAATGGATATAAAATTCCAAAGGCTCACAGGATCATTTGACCTCTCAAATAAAGGACGAGTATCTGCTCTAAATAAAGCAAGCTCCCAGAACTAAACAAATTAACTGATAACTGCAAGACTATATTATGAAATGGAACTACCAACTGAAGACTAGTAGCTGTGCACTTGGATGGAAAACTGACACAAACAAGAAGAAAAATGGGAAAAAATGGACTGACTATAAAAGCCAAGAGGAGGACGCCCCCATTACCGCTGGATAAAAGCAATCCTGATAGAATGAGGGTTGTCTTACGACGTGCTGCTGTTGCACCTCCACAATGTAATTGGGCAAAGAAAACAAAGCTAACAAACAACAACAACAAAAAAAAGACTACATCATAGTCAAGTTTCATGGAACTGAATTCCAAGTAGATACCTCGCCGTTAGACTCAAAAGCCACATTTGGCTGGGGTTGGTGCGTTACTGGTGTAAAACTGGAGTATTACGTCCCTTAAAATGTATCATCTTTCAAACCAAGACATTATAGATTTTTATCCCATCCATTTTTCATCCTTGTGTTTTGGCAGACTTCTTTATCAGGGGTTTTCTGTCACTAATGTAACCCGGCGCCTCGAGCGTGGAGGATGGCCAGATAACCCTTCTGTTTTTATACGTCTTTTTGTTTTTTAAAACCTCCTCTGGGAAATTCCATTAGATTAGCATGCTTCTCTATAAGGAGCGACAACTCCTTAACTCCTTTTTCCCCCCCTTTTTAGTGTAATTTAACGTCGCTCATCCCTGTTTAGCACACGTAGACGCACACTTTCGAATGCCGCTCAGGCTTTTAAAGCCGATTGATTATTTTCTACTGTTTTACATTTTTGCGAGCTAATTACTCTCTTGTGGTCGCCACCATCTGCTCGGCAAAATATTTGGCAGTATCTCCGTTCTTTTATCTATTTCCTCACTATGGTCTCCCTCGTTTAGAGGGAGTTTTTTAAAAAAAAGAAGTCACTGATGCTGAATTCAGTGTTCTAATTCAATTCTTGCCTTCATAACACGACAACTTCACGACAGGAAATCCACAATTTCTCAAAAGATGCAAACTTGGCTTTATATTTACAGCCTAGTGGCAGGAAGGAATGGATGTTTTAGTGTAAGAGTCTAATTTAGTTGCACTGTGAGTTGAGTCTTCTTATGCTAGGTCAACGAGAACAAAGCATGCCGCTATTTTAAAAACGAATGCCATTCATTGAGTTGATTCACCAGCTTAACAGCCATTAAAGTAAGTTATTAAAAAAAAAACAAGAGGAGTCTTGAGGCGATGTGAACGTGGACCTTTGTGTATGGGACATTTCTGCTCATGTGACCGTGATGGTGAGCATCTCATGATCCCGTCTAAATATTAAACCACTCTCGGTTTCTTAATAAAAGCCTTCTTCATGCAGGTTGACCTCGTTTTCAGGTCCCCTTTTTCCTCCTTGCGTCCTGGTTCTTCTGACTTACACTCCGAGCTCTGTGTAGCCCAGACTAAGAGTTCCTCCCGTGATTCCCCCAGCTTTGCTGTCAGGGAAAAAACTGTAAAATGGGTGTTTTTTTGGAAGAAGAGATCGGACTGCCAAATCGTGATAAGCCAGATGTCCCGTAAAGCCTCAACCATCCATTTAGACGCGCCGTGCTATGATGTGGGCTAAAGGCACAGTCAGCAAAAAGTCTCTAACAAATGAGCACTTAATGATAGTGCAGTTTTGGCCAATCGTTTTCCCCACAGGAAGGAGCCACGAATGGCCAGCTGCGAACATATGCTCGCAAAAGCTGAAAATAGCCTTTTTGAAGTGCACCCTGCTAGCAGGAATCTGATCAAAGACGGCAGTGACCGATGAAGCGCCGTCAGGACGGTAACGACCAGAAATTGATTTTAAAATGCATTTAAACCTTTAGCCGCGCACATGGGGCTCTCCCCTGGCTCAGCCTGGTTTGTCCTTTGTTTACTGTACATCCATTAGAGAGGGTCCCCCCCACCACTACCCACCACCACCTCACTGGCATGTGCAGGAGAGGACAGATCTCAAGTCTTTCATTCTAAAATTGAAGTTTCAAAGATTAAATCAGTTGTTTGAAACTGCATCATCCAGGGATTTTCATCAAGGTGAAACTGTTTCCATCTTTTTGTTTTTCTTTCGATGGCAACTTTAGATCTCTTGTAGAAACTTGTCTGCAGAGGGTTTGTTTTGGGTTTACAAAACATAGAAAAAAAAAGACTTCGGAGCGTGTGCACGTCTACATAGTTGGGTGTTGTCTTGATTATTGGGCCTCAAGCTCCCTGTCCTAGCCTTAAATGGAAGCCTGCAGCTTGACTCCTCTTCCTCTGTGTGTCACTCTCTCTTGTCTCCCACTCCTTTGTCTTTCCTGACCTTCCTTCACTTTTTCTGCAGCCACAGTATTTTGCATGTTATTCCGCTGACCTACTGTATGTGCTAGTGCGCGCGCGTATGTGTGTGTGTGTGTGTGTGTATTCAGAGTGCATTCCGATGGTTGCTTTGGCAGTCAGCATGTCTGCTTGTAGTTATAGCATTCAGAATCCGACTCGGCACGCCTATCCAACACACACGCAGCCATGTTTCCGTGACTAAAGAGGACCTTGCGTTGATTCACATTTATCGTTGTGAACCGTGTCGAACCTCGACTACAACCACCACTTCTTTGTCTCTGACCTCAACCTAAATATGATATTAAAACATGAAGAATGCAACGTATGATGCAGTGTCAGGCTTCTTCTTTTTTTTTTTTTTGCTGGATTGTAAGAGTTGTGGGCTTCCTTCTGAAACGAAATGGGAAATGAGTCGACTGAGGGCTACTTCAACAGATATGGGCAGCCCTTATTTGTACAGCTGGCCTGCTCTCTTGCTGTTGAGCCATATACTCTGGATTAGAACCTCACTCGTAATATACTGAGGATTGTCTGGATTGTCCAAGCGGAAATCCAAGTCTTTATGAACGGATGCCTGTATATCAGCAGTTTTTGTTTGTTTGCTTGTTTTTTTTTGCTGTATTGCAATGAGACAGGTCTGTGAGGTGACCAGCTATGTCTGAATTTTTTGTGGATTTGTTTTTATTTTGGTCATTAAGGCTTCCCCAGAGGTATCTCTATCCGGGGCTGCCGGTTCTTTGGAGTCCAACAGTAGCAAAAGGGGTTTATTTACCCGTTTCCAAATGCTGACAAAGTGTTTCTTGAGTTAATCAGTTATGTGTGTGTCTATCTCTTCTCAGCTGTCCCGTGCGGCCTCCAGCAGAGCAATGAGCCCCCTGGTGGTTCCAGGGGACTTCAGTCAGCCGGCCAGTCCCTTTGGTTGTCTGGATAACTCTGCTGCCAAGCACAAACTGGGCCTGAGGCACAAAGCCTGCAACAAGAGAAAACCTGCCAGTGTAAGACAAACACACATAGATGCAAACTATGAACAAAGTCAGGTGTTATTTTTATTTTTTTTTGGTGGTAGATTCTTTTAGGTTTTTCTTTTCTTGTACTGTGACTCGTCAAAAGAAAAAAGTACCGCAGTTAACAACCTTTTTGGGGGAGAGTCTTTAAATGGGATCCTCAACATGGCAACAAATTAATATGTATGAATATATATGTGCAAGGCAAAGATTGTTTTTTTGGAGGAGCCAAACAGCTAAAGATTACTGAATTATTTTGTGTAACTGTAAAACTGCCATTTAAGTTTCACTCATTTCTCTCATTGAGATATTTTTTTGTCAGACAACTCAGTCACTGAACATTAGCCTTTTAAGAATAGTGTCTACTTGTTCTTGCATAAAAAAATCCCAATTTTTATCTTTATCTTTAAGAATCTCGTTTAAATAATGTACATCTGTGCTGTGATATAAGCTCTTCTTGCCTGTTGGATGGTTATATACATAAAAGCATTAGAATCCCTTAATTTCTCCATCTGTTCTAAGAAAATGTGGAGATCCAATTAAATGAACAGGAATCAACTCACCCTCATAGCTGTGCTGCCTCAATGCAACTTGAATGTACAGTGTTAATTCTAAATGGTGGGTTCTTTGCCAAATGTAATCCAACCGAATTTCCAGATTTATTTTCATGAACAAGCTAAATAATTATCTACCCTGCTAACCAGGCAAACCCCTGGCAGTGTACGGGAGGATTTCCCGCTTAATCTTCAACAGATGTGCTTTTCCAGGTTTTTGGCAGCTTCTGTGACTGCAGGGGATGTTTCTAATATCCTGCTGGAGTCGCTCACTGTTAACATAAACGCACTTCTCTCATATTAATGTTAGCCAATCCTAACGAATGTAAAAGTAATGCGCTAATGAGTTTTCTCCCAACAAAAATAAAAGGGTGAGCAATGACACCGTTGTACACTGTGGCTCTTTAAGCAGATGTTTTGACTTTACGCGTACGATTTTTAAGTTGATCATCCCGATATTTTGCAGCATTTACTAGACAAGGTGGAAAGAGATTCTGCAGTGCTGAACATTTCCATTCAAGAAGAAGATGCAGGAGTTCCAGAGGAGCAGCAAGGGACTGAAGGTCAGGGCATGTTTTCGCGAACCCTTTTCAACTCTAATTCAATTTCTAACTATTTTCACATTAAGAAAATAATTGAAATTGTGGCAAATTTTTCATCAACATTACTTTCAGTTAGCTGTTGATCAGTACAATTATGATTATAATTTCATGGCCAAATCAAATCATTAATGCTATTATTGAACTGTGTTCTGACAATGGGAATGTTCTGTAAATAAATGTTCAATTTGCATTGTGTGTTGAACGTTCCCCCTAGAATTGAAATGGAACAGTCCTCATGAAACACAGTGTAACGTTAATTTTTTCTCTTTTTTAAATCCACCTAATCAAAAGTAACTCTCTGGGGTTATTTCAACACTGGGAGCCAATTTCCTTTGATTTTTTTGCAAATCCTCTCTCTTTGTTACTTAGAAAGTGCTGATCGGCTGCAACCAAAAGTGGACAGGGAGGAAGATGAGGATGAAGAGGGCACGGAGAAGCGGTACCAACAGGATTCCAGAAGATCCCTGTTGAGAGATAAGGACGAGTCTGACGAAGAACAGGATGTTTCTCACAGCCCGGACACTTCCTGTCCACCCATGCTGAGTCTCTCAGAGGAGGAAGTCCCTGATGACAGACCCCTGCCCTGCTCCAAGACTAGCTCGAGAACATCCTCTCTGGAGAGTCCTAGGTCTTCAGATATATATGATATCTCAGATATTTCCTGTTTGGCTTTGGATTTCTGAAAAAAGGATTAATCTCCTATTGATATTGATTTTTTTTATTATGTTATTCTGCTTCTAGAGCCACACCGGAGCCTTTTGCTGGTCCCAAAGAGTATCTGCTGGAACCGAAATTCATTTCCCACAAGCTAGAGGATACCCCCCTCCAGAGCTACTCTTCGTCAGAAGAAGACGACGTGATCCAGGAGGGCAGAGATGAGGAGAGCTCCCTGTTAGAGGAGGTGTTAAGCTCCCTGAAGACTCCCCTCGGGTCGAGCTCCCTGGAGACTGAGGAAGTCGTCCTGGAGTTGGAGGAGACGGACGACGCGGAGGCGATGGCAGAGACAGAAGAAAGTGCGGAGATTAAAGGAGAGGAAGATGAAGCGGAGGAGCCTGTTTGTCGTCAAACTGCCTCTCCGTGCTCCACCCTGTCCAGTCAGACCTCAGAGGAAGAAGAGGGGGCTGGAAGCTCTTCCTTTGAAATGGTGGCTGCTGTTGAAAGGATCAAAGATGGGAAAGAAGAAGGAGGGGACGAGGTGGAAGATCGTGCCATTGGGCGATTCGCACAAGATAGTGTAAGTAATCTTTGCCATTTTCAGTTTTGTGACATCAGCATTATTATGAACAATACATCCTCAGTATATTACAAGTGAAGTTCTACTTGGTACCATGTAATGATTTTTGCTTTTTTTTTTTATTCTAGCAAGTCTAAATATTCCTCAAACACAACTGGATCACCAGTAATCAGTGGAGAATAGAATGAGCCACACTATCAATGATCATAGGGTTGGATTATTATTAAATCTCATAAGACTATGTTGTCCCAACTAAACGAAGAAAACGCAGTGATGTTGAAAGAGTTTAAACACTAGATATGTTTTTTGTGTTATGTTGGGAGATTTGGAAATCATCGTTTTTCGTTTTATTGTCATTAATTTTTCTTAACTGAGAGCAGTAATTGAAATACCAATTCGTAAAAAGTTTTCTATCTAACGAAAAAAATAATAATCTGTAACCAACTTGAAAAATTCAAGCAAACAAAGAAAATAAAACAGATGAAAATTAACCGAAGGAGCACCCACTTTGGTCAAATGAGATCTCTAAACCAGCCAGAACTTTTGCCGAGAGGGCATTGGCGCTATAGTGGAGCATGGAGGTGGCAGGGTGATGATATGGAGGTTGCATCAGTGAAACTAGTGATCGTAAGAAAACGGTTGAAGATTGCTTTATGATCCTAAATCAAAATGGAGTTAATAGTGATAAGAATAATGATTATAGTAAAAAATTACAAAAATGAATCTTGCAAAACAAAAGGCCAGACGTTTTAGACATTTTTAACAGTTTAAATCTTCCGTTCTGTCATTAGGTAATGAAATGATTAAAGGTGATTCACATCACCTATATTCAGCAGGGGTATAACAACCTCTTTTTCTTCTCTTGGTATTTGGTAAAGGTTCAAATTGCTATGGTATATATAATATATACATAATTAGTGACGTTTGATGGGTAAACTGGATAGAAGCCAGTTCAAAATCAGTTAAAAACAGAAGCCAGTTGTTTCTGCTTAAAATCACCTGAAATGTCAGAGTAAGACACGTTTATTAAAACACGCATGTACGCTTTTGTCCTCCAGGATGAAGAGGAGGAAGAAGACAAGGAGTACGAGGGCAAGGAGGCAGAGGAGGCTGAACCTGAGGAAGAAAACAACATCCTGACGAGAGAAACTGTTGTGCTGGAGAGCGAGGAGGAAGAGGATGGTAAAGGAGAAAAGGAGAAAGAGGAGAAAGAGATAGAGGAAGACCACTGGGAGAACATTATAGCTGATAATAGTGATGAAAAGTTGAACATAGAGGAGGAGGAAGAAATTGAAGAAAAAGAAGAAGAAGTTTTCATTCTGGCCTCCCAAGATCAGGAAGTTCAAAGTGACTGTCTACAGGAGGCAGAAGAGGAAGAAGCAGTTGGAGATGTGACTGAGCGTGACATGGATGATCAAATCTCTCCTGAAGAGGGGGATCAGGTACTCCCTGAAGAGCAGGGGCAAGAAAATCTTAACCAGAACTCTGGAGGTGAGTGTAATGACAGAGAAGAGATGGGCCAAGAGGCCGACCTTATCGAAGAAAAGTCAGAGGAAGAACAAGAAGAAGAGGATATAACAACCCGACCTGATGTAGATCAGACTGAAAAGAACCTGGAGCTGGAAAATGAGAGGATTCTGACCATTTTAGACTCGAAAGGCTTGCTGAAGGATGCGGACGAGGCAGCGGAACAAAGCCCAACGTCCAAGCCCAGTCCTTTGTCTCTTCCTGAGACACCTGAGACCAGGGGCAGCTCCCCCAGCAAGACCTCGTCCCTGCAAGTAACCCTGGCCTCTCCCACCTCAGAGAAAACTACCCCTTTGTTCCAGCCGTCTTCAGCTTCTAGGGAACCGGGTGAAAATGGTGGCGAGTTGCCTCCTGTGGCCGAGGTGGCGCCTGTACACGGAGAGCGTGCTAGCGAAAAAGACAACAAAGAAGAAGAAAAACGGTCCATCCGGAAACAAGAACCTGCTGACGAGGAAGTTGTGACCCCGTCACCTGACAAGAGCAAAATCCGCTTCACCATCGCACCAGCGTGGCAGAGATCGCAAAGTCTGACCCCCCCCCCTTCCCCTCCGGCCTGCGTCTCCTCTTCTTCTACCAAGCCCGCAGAAGACGAGGCGGAGGCCGTGGCGGAAAACAAAGAGCAGATCGTAAAAAGAGCGGAGCCCGCAGGTCCACAGGAGGCCAACGAGGGGCCGAGCCCGGATAGAGCCAGGAACGGAGGGAGCTCCCCTGTTAAAACGCCGAGCAGCATGGCCCCGCTTCCTCTCAAAGCTGGTAAGTGCAAACCACTGGTTCCATTCAAGTCTACTGGGATATTTTTTTTTTGGGCCAGTCTTAGTGTCCTAATCCTTTTCACAGGTGGTAATCTCATCATTAGAATTTAATTTATACATTAGATCCTTGTTTTTTGGGATCAACCCAGAGGTTCTATAAAGTCTGGCGGCCATTTCTAAATTATTTTCACGTACAATTCCTAGCTGGAAACACAGGGACATAACCAATTCACAGGCTCTGTAACTCTAATGTAACATTCCTATATTTATTTAGTTATATTTTTCTCTATCAAATTTTTTATTTACATATTTTATCATTTTAATATGACTTTATTTATCTTTCCCCTGTGTTATTGTCATTTTATCATTGTATATATTGGGGTTGGTTTGTTTGGTTACTTGTTGTCATAAAGGTACAATTCGAAATCGAATAAAAAAAATATTTCATATATATATATATATATATATATATAGATCCATGTTTTTCCACCCCGCCCCCTTCAGAGAGCTCCGTGGTAGCCGAGGGAAACCCCGACAACCCTTTTGGAGTCCGGCTGAGGAAGACGTCGGCTCTGTTCCGCTTCGGCTCCGAGGAGGAAAACGCAGAGGTGATGAAACCAGAGTGCGGGGTAGCTGCTTTTGGGCAAAGACAGAAGCTAGAGGGAGGTGAACGTTGTCCCTGGCACTCCTCAGTCAGAGGCAAATCTAGCCTCGGTCACCTCAGAGTTAGTTGTAGCTCATGAGCTTTGAGCCAAGCAAACTTTTACTTAACATCAAAGCTCCCAATATTCCTGCTGACACATTAAAAAAAATAGCTTGAGGGCGATGTTTGCAAGGTTAAAACCTTGACTGTAGCGAAAAGGGACTTTATAATAGAAGGTTCTAGATGGTTAAGTAGATTTTCTTGTTGTCATTCAGCCTCCCGTTGAGTCGCCCTCTCAGCCAACCTGTACAGCAGAAACGCCACCACAGCCGGTCAGCAGTAAACCCTCTGTGTGTCCGCCAGTCAGCAACAAGCCCGCCCTCCCCAAAAAACCGGAGGTGCACGGAGAGGCTGGATCCAAGCCGAGGCGCGTCTCGGGTGAGTTTTTTTGCAGATTCCTGGATTCCCGACCCATGCGGGTTCCCATGGATGACATCCTCAGACTCAGAGTCTCCCCTCCCTCCTGGTTTCAGACCCAGTCACGGGTCGGGGTAGTTCCGGGGTCGCAGATCCTCCCAGCTGGATATCCATGGCCAAACAGAAGCAGAAGATCTATAAAGAAAACTCCCTGGATGAGATCACTATCATAAAGGTAATCTGTGTGATGATTAAGAGTTGATCCTTCTATGTTCAGTGCTGCTCACTATTCACTATATCCAGAATCTGTGTGCAGTGTCAGTCAGAAAAAAGGGTCGAAACGGTATCCTAGCCCTGTTTTCAGTCTATCGGCATGTATTTCCATTCACACGCTGTGATGCGGTTCTTTTTCCTCAGGAGGAACACGAGAGAAAATCCTCTCTGCCAGCATATGTCAGCTCGGCCGCAAGCAGGGAGCAGAGCAACAAAACGGCTCAATCCCCCAGCAAAGGTCGGCGCACGCACAGACACACACACACTCTGTTTTGCTGTTCGAAACTGGCAAAAACAAGTCTCGGCGCGGCCAAAACTCCCATCAGCCGCTGCTCCTCTGGATCCATTATTGTGACATTTTGATCCGAAAGTGCTCCAAAAAACAGTTTAAACTGCTGCTGTGATGCGTTTGTGTGAGAAAGACACAAAAGTACATCCATCCATAGTTGTACATTAAAAGAAAAACAACAAACTCAGATTACCAACAGAAAATTACCCTGCTGAAGAAAAAAATTAGGCAAAATAGAAGAATCTGTGTTTGAAAAATGAATCGTACTTTTTCGAACTAGCTTTCTAAAATGAAGACGGTTATGTATTCAAGCGTGAGACATTCAGAGCAGTTGCCAAACTTGATGTCACAGCAAGTCCAGACAGTGAAATGATGGAGTGCTGCTGATCTGGACCTGGACACCTTGCAGTCACTGAGTGCACCATGACCTCCTCTGTGAGGAGGGAATCAAAGTGTTGCAGTGGTCAGTCAATTATGGTTTAATTGCCAATATCTTCCATAATGTTTTCAAACTGAGGACCCCATATACTGTCAAAAATAGGAGATCTACAGGAATGCATTGTCTTTGAGACCGGTACGTTCTCGACTTAAGTAACCCATATGGCTTATAACTGGACCCCAAGGCACATATTTGTACTTTTAAAGGCCATGAAGGGTGCACATTAATCATTAATCACATTAAGTAAAAGTAGTAAATGGACAAGATACAAGGCTACAACAGTTGAAGGTACCACCCCATTGACATGTGTTTGTACCCTTAAAGGTACAATTAGGTGCTTAGCCAAAAGAGATAACTACTCCTGAACGGGGTTCTACAAGTTCTTGAATCATGTGACGTACATAGTGTATTGGTTTGGTTTTTGTTGACTAAGTGTAAACTGTTGTCGTTCATCTTTTGGTACACTAACCTGCTTTGTTTGGAGCAGATGATTATTTTATTTTGGAGTAATACGTTTAACTTGTAAACTGAACGACGGTGTGCTTTGTGTTTATCGGCACTTTAACTTATAGTTCACTTCCAAATGAGTTTTATTTTTCCTTAGTCACTTCTGCCCTCATCTGGTAAACTTGTGCTACTGCAGCCCTTTTGTGCAATTCAATCTCAAATAGCCACAGCAAACTGAACAGAGATGTCCACATAATGTGAAAATCGTCTCATTTGGATTTAACAGATTCGTTCAAAAGTACGTTTAGAACTATGATCAAAGAGAAGGATCCACTTGTTTTGCTAATCTGGCTTGTTGTGTGTCTTTTTTCCCTGCAGCTGGGCAGACGGTGATCAGTAAGCCGCCAGTGTCTGTAGAAAAGGAAACCAGGAGAGCTCTCTCTCCTCCAACTCCAGTGCCGCCTCAGCCTTCTAAACCCCAGCAGCTCCCCTGCCCTGTTGCCCCAAAACCTCAGATGCTCCCCGCCGTTGCAAAACCTCCACCGCAACCCGGTTCCCCTCAGAGAAACCCGTCGCCCCCGACTCCGGTACCCGTCGCCTCAAAACCCTCTCCCACCACGACTCCATCGTACCTCTCCAAGACTGCCACGCCGTCCAAAACGCCCCCGGTCACTTCGCCTCCCTTCTCGTCGAGAGTTTCTCCAGAAAAGCCCGGCTCCAGGGGCCCGGGGAACCCCGGACCGGGCCCCTCTTCTCCGGCCCTGCCCCAAGACGAGCCGCCCTGGATGGCGCTGGCCAAGAAGAAGGCCAAAGCCTGGAGCGAAATGCCACAGATAGTCCAGTGACGGCCCAGGTTTACGGAAGACCCGGCACTCCTGGTACGGATGGACCGTCAAAACATTTGCACATAAATTTCCTCTAATCCTGTCCTTCGAGCTTCCGGTTGGCATCGAACGTCCAATCGTGCGGCTCGAGGCAGGTTCTGTTTAACTCCTTTTTTTTTTTTTTTCCTTTCTGCGTGACAGGGTAGAACTGCAGGAGTTACTGTGTCTTACCTGAAAAATGATTTATCCTTTTTCCAACAGTCTTAGTATAATAATCGGTGCCTGAATTAAAGAAATGTCTAACAGCCTCGCAGGTATGAATCTAAACTTCGATGTATGTAACACGTGACATCACTACAGACGTCAGGAAAGGGAAGAGGGAATGCTACTCTAAAGTACTCAGAAAGTACTTTATACACCAAAACGGATCAAGCTAAAAAAAAATCCAGAGTCATTGTTGTAAACAATTCAATCTACACAATGTCATATCTCTTCCAGTCAGTATTTTCTCCCTTTATATGTGTGTGTGTGTGTGTGTGTGGGGGGGTATGTGTGTGTGTGTGTTTGTACATGGGGGGTGTTTTCAGACGAACAGATTTCTTAACACAATTCACAGTCTAATTATGCTGGGGCAGAGCGTGTTTTGAGCTATAAGTGTAAATTATATTTTTAATTTCCTCTTTTGATATTTGTAAGTCCTCCTTTTTTTCTTTTTTTTGGGGTCGTTTTCAATACTTAACTGCAGGCCACCGGCTCGTGTCTGACAGGACCGTTTAATCTCCCAAGAGACTGGCTCGGGTTTCCGTGCATCATAACGTTGTCGATTTGCGACGCGGTAAGCGAAACACGAGTCGTCGTAAAACCCCTCCGACGCCTCTCGGATTTAGGTTTTCTGCCAGATCCAAAGTTGACAGACCGATGTTTGCTCCGTGTCATTTAAGCCTGTCTGACGTCACATATGTTACACTTTTGGTTTTATTTTATATTGCCTTCTGAGGTTTTCTCTTGTACATAAAATGTACAGTTAAAAAAAAGAAATTAAATCACATTTTTCTGTCTGTTTGTCTTTCTTTTTTATTCATATAGGGTGGTCCATCCATTTTAATTTCAGTAAAAGGCCTTTAACTTACAAGTGAAAGAGAAAAAACTCTAACATTTCTGTGTTAAAGTCTTAAAAAATTGACATAATTTCAAGGTCTATGATTATTATGGAAATCAGAGTCAGAGAAAGGCTTAACAAGCGTCTTTTCACCCACTGAAGAAGGTGAAGAGTCCTTATAAACGTTGAACAAAGATTATTTGAGCACTAATTTAACTTGGCTTTTGACCAATTACACATTGGGTAAGAGTGGATCCACATAGAGGTTATGAGTATATGAATGGAAGTAAAATAATAATTTCCCTCTGGGATTATTAAAGTATTTCTGATTCTGAAAAACTGTGCTGACCAGTGCCATGTTTGCTCAAATAAAGAATAATACAACATTCTACAATATAGAGAATTATTTATTCATTCAGTTAAACTGCTGGAGTAATGAAACGATCCTAACCTTTAACACATTTCACCCAGGACTGGAAGTTCCTGTCACATAACATTAGAAAATAACTTGTATAAAGCAACAAAGTTTTCTTGATCATAAGAAATTAATCAATGAAAATCAGTGCGGATTTAGGAAAGGAAGATCAACAATGGATGCAATAACTAGAGTTAGTAATGATATAGAGAAAGCTTTAAAAATGAAAGAAATTATGATTGTAGTATTTTTGGACATAGAAAAAGCTTATGATTCACTATGGAGAGAAGGACTACTTATAAAAATGAAGCAGATGGGAATAGGAGGGAAAATGTTTAATTGGATAGCAAATTTTTTAAAGGATAGAAAAATAAAAGTTAAGATTGGAAATGACTACTCAAAAGAATTGAATATTGAAAATGGAATTCCACAAGGTAGTGCAATTAGCCCAATACTATTTAATATTATGATAAACGATATCTTTTCTGAAACAGAAGAATGTATAAAATCTGTATTATATGCTGATGATGGAGTATTATGGATGAGAGGAAAGAATACAAGATTTGTTATAGGTAAAATTAAGAAAGCGATTAATAAAGTAGAAAAATGGTCCTTTGAATGGGGTTTTAAATTATCAACAAGTAAATCTTGTTATATGATTTTTACAAATAAGAAAAACATAGACATAGGTACAATAACATTATATGAACAACCATTGGAAAGGGTAGCAGAGTTTAAATATCTGGGAATATGGTTGGATCAATCATATACATGGAAAACGCATACAAAGAATCTGGAAACTAAATGTAAGAAAGTGATAAATCTACTAAAGGCTGTGGCTGGAAATAACTGGGGTGCAGATAGACAGTCATTATTAAACATATATAGGGCTCTCATGAGATCAACAATAGACTACGGTAGTTTTATATATGGAGTAGCAGCTAAAACAACATTACAAAAAATAGATACTTTACAGAATAGGGCTTTACGTATATGTACAGGAGCAGTGAAAACGACACCTATTAATGCCCTTCTAGTAGAGACTGGAGAGATTCCACTAGAAATAAGAAGAATAAAATTAGCTCTGACATACTGGATGAAAATAAAAAGTAAAAAAGATGAAAATGTAAATTCAACAATATTAAAATATTGTTGGGAATACTTAAAGTTCCATAGTAATGGATTTGGATGGATCATAAACAAATGGATTAAAATATATGAATTAGAAGATAAAGAAATAGCTCAATTTAATCCAATTAATGTTAGCCCTTCATGGATATTTCCGGCAGTAATTGTAGACATAAAACTCCTTAAAATGAAAAGCGATTGGAATTTAAAAGAAATAGGGGTAAAAACCGATATATACTTAAGAAACTCATATTATAATTATGCTAAAATATATTCAGATGGTTCTAAGAATTCAAAAGGATGTGTGGGAATAGGAATTTATATATCTGAGTTTAAAATTGACATATCTAAAAGATTATCTGATCAACTATCTGTATTCACGGCAGAAATGGTGGCAGTTATCATCAGTTTGCAGTGGGTAGAGGAGGTGCGTCCAGACAGAATAGTAATTTGCACAGATTCCAGAGCAGTCATAGAAAGTATTCAAGGAGAAGGAAACAATAGGAAAGATCTAGTACTAGAAATTCAACATAGCTTATTTAGAATATACAGAGGTGGCATTGATGTTTGGTTCTGTTGGGTACCAGCACATCAAGGTGTAAAAGGAAATGAAAGGGCAGATAAATTAGCAAAAAGGACTTTAGATCAGGCAATAACGATTAAAATACCTATTGGCAAAGGGGAAGGGAAATCAATTATTAAGAATAAAGAAATGGAAATATGGCAAAAAAGATGGAATGAAGATAAGAAAGGAAGGAAATTATATAAAATACAGAAGTCAATATTTAGTAGAAATATTAAGGAGAGAAATAGAAGGGAAGAAATAATAATGATTAGACTGAGAGTAGGGCACACATATTTAAATGATACTTTATATTTAATAGGGAAGAAAAATAAGGATAAATGCGAAAAATGTGGAGAGAAAGAAAATGTAGAACATATACTACTGAACTGTAAAACATATGAACGTGAAAGGGAGAAATTGAGAAGAATAGTTGGAAAGACAGATCAAGAATGGAGTTTGAAAGGAATATTGGGAAATGATGGAAATATAAAGGATATTTGTAGGATAAGAAAAGCGTTATTTATTTTTCTTCAAAACACAAAATTAAAAAATAGAATATGACTGATGTAGAATACTGTTGCTACACACTCGTGTACAGTAGGTGGCGGTATGCACCTTAAAGTTGATTGCGACCCGCCATAATAGAAAAGAAGAAGAAGAAGAAGCAACAAAGTTTGTGCTTTTTCCAATCAAAGCTAACAACGGTTGCATTAAAACTATTTTTATAGAATTAAGATAGTGAAAGAAAGGTGGCGGTATGCACCTTAAAGTTGATTGCGACCCGCCATAATAGAAAAGAAGAAGAAGAAGAAGCAACAAAGTTTGTGCTTTTTCCAATCAAAGCTGACAACGGTTGCATTAAAACTATTTTTATAGAATTAAGATAGCTACCTTAAAGTATAATCGACTGTGAGAATAAAATAAACTTAATTGTCTTTGAACAAAATAAATAAACAGTATGAGGTTATCAGATTACAAATTCTTACAGGGTACAGTTGTATAGATTAAAGTTGTGTATGCTAATGATTTTATGGTACAATTTAGCCACTAATGAACCTTGGGTGGCTTGAAAATGTATTTTCTTTGAGCTGCACCATCAAGTTTGACTAACACCTTACACGTAAAGTTATCATAAATTAATGAGTCTTTCACCCTGTCAGGGATAGTGAAACATATGAAAACACAAATGTGTACTGTATGTCCATCCCTCTGCATACTCATCATCATCAGGGTTTCTGAAACAAAAAAAACTCACATGACTGCTTTTTTTATGTTTTAATTTTGTTTCTACTTTGATTAAACTGCTTGATCGTCAATATTACTTAAGTCCTCATCGAGTCATGTGTCTTTATAACCATTGTGATTGCTTTTTTTAAACTTCCTTTGGCTGGATTTTGTTCCTCAATATTTGACACAATTTATCAGATCAAATCGATGATCCATAAATCAGATCAGTCTATCCTTCTGGCAGCATATGTTTATTCTGCTTTTGAATGACACTGAATTACAAAAATATGTTAGAAGATGAAGTGGAAATATTTTAAGTATCTGAAAGAGTTGTAGTTATAACATTAGAACTAAACTTAGGCAATTTGTTTGAGTAGAAAAGTCAGTTTGGCTGTAAACTTGATTTAGCAAACGGCACTAATTAAGTTTAGATCCCGGCTGAATAATTGTAGTGATTTTTTAACTGAACCCAAAAACTTTGAGTAATAAAGCTCAAGTCTATTAAGCATACACATCCATGTCTGCTGTATTTTTATTTTTATTTTGTCACCATGCACTAGAACTTTTGCTCCATAATAGAACCAAATATTAATGCATGGTTTGTGGGTTTGTGTGCATGTGCAAAGAAGAATTTTTATTGGACAAAGCGCCTGCTTTAAACCTCCCAGATGTCCTTTCAGGGTGAGTTAAGTAACACTGCCGCTGCCCTACTTCTGATACAGGCACTATCACATTAACATGTGGCTCCAAAGTGGA